ATCTGACGTTCATTTACCAGAAACCGCATAAAAAACACTGGGTGACCCGCTAAAGAGCGGAACCCCCACGTTGATGTATCATGCAGCAGCAGCAGAAACATCGGCGAAACACGTGTCTGGGCTTTTAGCTAGTACGTATGCTTAGTGAACACATAACAACTTTGTCATATGAAAGAGATAACAGTCTTAGTACTACATGTCCTCTTATGTGCACTTGATGTACGTAACGGGTTGAGATTTAAACCTGCCTAAAAAATCTATGTCCAGTCATGTTTGGCCAATAGTAGTCTCTTCTGGTTGGAATCTAGTCTGGATTGACTGTCGCCTTTTCCATGCTTCCCGTAAATTGGTGTATACAGCATCCAATTCAATGTGCCTATTAATGCATGGACAGTGGCATAGTGACTAGTACGATAGGATGTGGCGAAAGCGATAGGGGCGACTGTAATGAACATTTTTGGCTTATTAGTCGTCATCAGCCAGTCATGTACACACATAGGCAAACGTATGTCAGTCATGCATATCTGCATATAATATGCTAGTCATTAAGCGGTTGCTCGTGGGACTCGAGAACGTGCACCAGGGCACAAGCGAACGAGTTCCGTAACTTATCAGTGAGGGCCTATGTGGGATTAATATTTGTATGTACTGAAATAGAGACATCCCATGATAATTGATGAGGAGGAAACGAAATTCTTTGGGAATGCTCGGTTATGAGACTCACGCGTCCCATTTTGCCTTAAAGCTCATCCCCAAGCCCTGCCAGACAAAAAATAGGCTCGTGGCAAAGTGAGTCATGGAGTGCCAGAGATAACACAGTACGATACTATTACAACCTGAAGGTCAGTTCTCTGGTATACGCACTGTATTGCCACGGGAAACGGGGGATCCATATGTAACCCCTAATAGCAGTGGCAGGGCGATTTGAGCTCTAATCTTCTCGCTCCATTCGAGCTCGCAAGTGATTGGTTGTTGGGTCCTCTGCGTAATTAAGGGCGCCAACCAATGAACGCACAGCTGCCCACCTGCGAATAGATTATCGGCTCA